TTTCTCAACCAGTGGAAGGATCAAGAACCCAATTTATAAAGAGTTAAATCCAGGAGACTAGATCAACGTTGGATATATTTGATTAAATAGTTACCTGGCAAAGCTGGACTCAAACCTAGAAGTTAACAGTTCAATGTCATAAGGTGCCCAATGGATTAAGGTGCTTGAAACTGGTCTCGAAGTTCGCAAACAATTTTTTTTTTTCATTTGCTTTAGGAATTACTGAATAAAAATGTTATGAAAAACCAAACTTGTGCGGGTTACTTATACTCATATTCATCGATTTATTCTTATCGATTATTTCTAAGTCAGTAGTTGTTTTGTGTAACCCGCGGCCTCGTACATTTATCAAGATAACCTTTCGGGATGCATTGGACGGAGCTCTCCCACTAGCGACTTTAAGTAAACAGTTGCAGGTTGTAATTTTGTAATCTTGTAATTTAAAAGATGGAATCGCTAAATTACTCCTCCCTCTTGCCAATTTCATTTCATTTCCCCACTTCCACCGTTTATACCCTCTCGGCCTTTTGTTGTTATTCCTCTGCTTCGGTGTATTTTATCTTTCTGTCTGTTTGCAGTTAGCGACTGGGGAGCTTTTGATGATGGGTGGCGAGTCCCTGTGATTTCCCACCGGCAAGGCTGTGGTATTCTATTGTTTTGAGTAGTTCTGATCGTAGAATCATAGATTCATAATAAATAATCTCTATTTTACCTTCCCGAATTCTCTCTTCAATTTGAGAAACGATCATAAAAGAAAAACTAACTAAGTTAACTTACTCATTTACTTGACTATAATAAGACCTATTAGGACTTATGAAGTTAGACTTTGGGGCTCAACTAAACTATCAAATTCCTCTCGTATATTATTCTCGCTATTAAAAATTCTTCGCAAAATACTGAATCCTCCTTATTTTGTCATAAATAAAATTATTAATGATCTTATGTACTATATGTTATCGATTTGGCTCTACCCAATCGCTTAGCGTCTCTCTGTATCGTTAAACTAATTCACATTTACCTATCGCCTTTAGTAAATACAATTGTAAATTTCAATAAATATTATTTAAGAAAAATCATTTATTTTTCTTAAAACTAGAATTTTTTTTCTATCAAGAAAGATTTAAACGATTATTAGATTGTCAAAATACAAAAAATTGTCGAATCCGGACAAAAATAAAATAATTAATGATAAAAAGAAATAAAATAAAAACACATTTCTAAAAATTTAAGCAACTCTTATTTTTATTTTTTATTTAATAAATGGACAAAATTATTTTTTTTAATAATAAAAATTTAGCATCCATAGTCTGATTCCAATCCGTTTTTTTTTTTTAAATTGGTTAAAATCAAGTTTATTCTAGTCCATCAAATATTAAAATCAAGTCTTTTATTCGGAGTAGGAATTCATAACTTCATTTTTAAAACAAATTAGATAATTAGGTTCCGTTTTTTTATATAAATTTGAAAATAACCTACCTTTTAAGGACCGTTGGTGACGGACATTAGTTCAAAGTTAATGCCATGCCAGTTTAACCTCGTTCCATTATCTTGGAGTCAACTTTCTGGATTTCGGATTATTTTTTTCATGTAAGGCTTTATATGGCGTACATTTGCTGACTGTTTAACTGGTATATTATTTAGTTATCATAATTTTTGGTTGGAAAAGTTTTAGAAATACCTCAGATTAATATAAAGGCAAGTATAAATGCATATAATTTAACTAAGGACTGCTTCCCCACTCGATCCTTTTATTTAAAAACCTCATCGAATTTCTGTGGAAGGTTTCTGTCAACACGTGGCAGAGGACGGAGAACGGTGGACGGAATTATTACTCAAATCAGTTGGGACTGTTTCCGCAGTTGTGATTACTGCCCCCTAATTGCGGAGCTATGTTAGAACTGCAATTGTCATTAGAATTACCTTGCAATTTTGATTTCCTCTAATGTGACAATCTATGTGTGTGTTTACTGCCCGGTCGGCGGAATGCAAATTACTCATTAAGACATTATCATATTGATTGAAATATTTAATTCCTAATGTTGCAGTGCAATGGTCAGAACCCAGGTGTTCGGCTTCAGCTCACAACCAACGTCTCGTTAGGTGGGGAAATTCGGAACTTAATTGCTAATGAATTTAATTATAAAGCATTATGTTATGGATAAAACCATAAGTTAAGAAATCCATAACTGACAAAATAAATAAATAAATATATGTATCTTTTCTTTTCATTATATTTTATTACAGATCTCTTTTGTTCGCCTTTTCTACCTCTGCTAATCTTGGCTTATTTCATTCTGGTAATCCGCATGCAGATCTATAGCATCCTTGTTGATTTGATCTATCTATTTGGTTTTTGACCATCCTCGTAGTCATCTCTCTTCTATTGAGGGATTCATTGTTCATTAAATAAAATAAAATATTGATATAATAAATACTAATTGCTGTAATTATCTTCACATTTGATTTTGCCAGTTTCCATTAAAAAAATGAAAGATCAAACTTATTATTTTATCTATTTTGATTTCATAATAGTTTTAGTTTAAGATTATATAGAAAAATCAAGATTAAACAATAAACAAGTTTTAGAGGTCTAGAGAGAAGAAACATTCTTCCACGTAGTTTGGGTCCAAGTTTTGTTGTCTCTTTCTTGGTACTGCTAAGAATTGATAAAATATGTCAATGCTTATATTTACATAAGTTGTAATTGTATAGTAGTTGTATAGTTTCGAGAAAAAAAAATTAAGATTTGACAATGTTGTGTCAGCTATATAAATATTAAAATTTGTATATATAAGGGTACTTAAACAAATAAAAATATCCACAATGAAATATAAATCAATATCGCGTTTATAATTCTTATTTTCACTTCCCCTTTGTCTGAAAATAATTATTTCTGATAAGATGAGTGTGGTAAGTGAAAGTTGTGTGATGCAGGCACCGCACCAGAATTTTCATATCTAACTTTCACAATAATCTTGTAACTAAAGTTAAATTAAAAATATTATGCATTGACTGAATTTGGATTCTGTCAAGCATATTTAAGGAATTTCTTATTAAGTTCTTCATTCAGTTACTATCGAGGAGAAAAACCAATATTCAAGGACATTAAAGAAGGAGTAATGTAGAACATTAAGGGAGAGAGAAGACGCAGTAAAGCAGGGTAACCAGATAGAGCGATATCGAACAGATAGAGGAAAATAAAGGCGAATAGAAAAGAGAAGTAGAAAAAAATATATATTTAACGACGGCCAACAAAGTAATAGGACATTTGATAGGAGGCAACTTTGATGTTAAAGAACGGAATCATTGCCATAAAATAGTTGGCGGCAACGAATGAACCATTAAAAAGTTGAACCCATTCCGGGGAGCCTGCTTGCACTCCACTTCTCTGGATTTTATCATTCTTCGGATATCCTCCGCCTTTTAATTTATCTCCTCCTAGCCTATATTTCCCCCCTCCCCTCCATGCTTCGGATATAATGTTGCTATTTCGCTATAAAAAAGAAGATTGGGTGTTTAACGATCCTACTTTACAGACCCTTCTTTATTCTTTGAATCTTGTTTTAACTCGCTGAAGGGAATGAGAAATGGAAAAAAGTATAAAAGAAATAATCTAGATACTGCCTACCGGAATACACTCTCCATAGCATTACTTACTCGTCGATTGTTGTCGAAACGATTAAGTAAGTACTTTTTGTTCGGATTATACAAATTTTCTGTAACGAAAAAAAATGAAGAATAACGCCCACGTGGTAATAGATTTATGATTCAAGAAAAAATTAACATTATAATAAACATCACCAAATGAAAGTAAGGACAACTATGCAAACCTAAGAAATTCAGATAACCAATCTTATGTCTATGTAAATCGAACAGATATGATAAGTAGCAATTTGAATAAGAGTTGATATCTTGGTTTACAAAAATGTTTTGGGTATGTACTCAAATAAACAAACACAAATAGATATATATTACAAAATATACAATACAACAAATATTGTTCTGCTCGCTAAGCTACCATGCGTACTTAATGTCATCTCTTTTCCTCCGGATGAAGCCTAGGACAAGAAAAATGAACGACCTAATTGTCAATGAAAGAAAATAATTAAAATTTGAATTATGCGAAATAACATTGCAAATGCTGCTATAGTAAAAAACAAATAATTTCAGTAGCACAGTAACTCTGTCGAAAATCGCGTTTAAGGGAGTTACGAAAAAAAAAGTATTCCTAGGTACAAATAATGTTTGTTGATAGGAAACGGTAAATTATTGATAACAAACATTTTAGCATAAAGTAAATTTAATTCAACTGCCAGAATCTCGAGTTGAAGGAATGTAATAAAACTATGATTGAAAAAAAAAAATCCTTTCCATTTAAAGTTACAAACTTCCTCATCCATCCAAGTCTTACTTTTTTCTATTGAAAACTTCCAGCATTAAAACCATTTAACTATTACCATTTAGCATTTGTCAAGTTCTATTTAAATCATAAATTAACAATAGCTAATATGAAAATAGGAACTTGTATTTAAGTTTGAACTAAATATCTAAGAGTAGAAACTTGATACCAAGTTGCTTGAAGGTAACTTTGGTAATTAAGTCAGGTCAATTTTTTTTTCACTGATTTTTTTATTCCTTTCAAAATTTATTTGTTACATTAATTAGTTGATTCTGCGTTTCATTCTTGTGTTCAATAAGTAATATTTATTTTTTATTTTATTTTTATTTATTTTTATTTATTTTTATTTATTTTTAACGATTAAAGTTTATATAAAAATGAGCGAGGAAGAGTGAAGTACCCAATAAAGTGGTGTTAATAGACGGTCCTATCCCTGGCAACTATCACTATCGGTGTGGCTCGATCGAAGCGCCCCCTAACGACATTATTCATTAATTAAAGATCAAACGCGGCCTGTGTGCGTCGTAGGCTGGGAAGAGGGGGGGGGGGAGTGCGCCCTCTTCGCCCTGTTAACATATGTATAAAGTTACAAGATCATGCATTATTGAGATGGGACTGGCTGGGACGGATGCATTAGTAACCGCCTCACCCTCTGTTTAGGGGAAGGAAGATATGTAAGAGGGAAGGCATTATGTGCCCCTGCACAACAAATACCTCGGCTGTTGTTGAAATACGAGGCCGTGGCGTTGGAGGATGGTACTCCTGTGCGAATCGCGGTGAAAAGTGGAGGAGACATTAGGTGAAAAAGAAGATTGAGAGGGAGCCGAGGAAATGGTTCGGAAAAGAAACACCGATAAAGGCCCATACATCACAACCAGCTCGAGATAAAAACCGAGAATTAAACGAGAAGAGAAAAGAATATATTAACATAAAGATTGGAGGTGGGGAGGAGGAAAGTATTATTAATGCAGGACCTCTCCTAATATTTCTACCTCGGCCCGAATTGTAATATATACAAATAATTATATTCCTCTTATCCCCGTCGTGCTGGTACTTTGTGTGTGTGTGTGTATACTGGCATGAATATATGTATATATTTTGTTTTTGTTATCTTCTGTGAAAATCTTTGAAATATTATGTTAAGCTTTACTTGGAAACCTTTTGAATAATACGGATGACTTTTTTTTATTTATTGTTTTTTTGTGTGTTAAAAACGCATTCTATTTTGTAAAAATATGTTAAATCGATTTATTCGTTAAATTTCAGGATGGAATTCTCATACTTGGGTTTTTTTCCGTCATACAATGTTATAATGTAACCCTGTAGTGATTTGTATTCCTTTGAATTATAAATATATTTATGTTTAGCGTTAAGGAGCGCTATTATGTAACTGAAAATGAGCTTCGTCACAGATGGTAAGTACTTGGATGAGTGACTGCCCAAAGCCAAGCTACGAAACTCGATATCTTATCGACTATCCCTTCTTCGCGTATGTGAACCCAGTCATCCTACTGGCGTCAACTCACACTGGGCGTCTTAAACACTTAAACGGGCGTCGAAGTTACTATTCTACCCAATACATCTTAATTAGGATTCTCTTTGAGTTTTTCCAAGATGACAGTAGCCGCCTAGAAGTTCGGCCCACAAACAGTTGGTTTCAGGAAAAGGAATTTAATTCCTCATGCGCCTGCTGTTTTTGAAACGTCATCACCTCTGGATCTAGATTGATTATTCACTGTTCTTGAACATCTGTAAATCATAGAGAACACCGCCGAATGGTCTGCAGGTGAATAGTTATGGGGTTGTTGGTATCTTGCCAGTACATCATGAAAACTAAACATATTGGAGAAGATCTTTTGATACTTTCAAATGTTACTCAAAAAGCTTTGAGAAACCAAAGCTTTCACTTTGTACCACTAATCTCTATCTGCATAGCTCCATCTTCCGGTAGCCAGTCAAACTTAATGCCATCTTCCAACCTGCATATCGGTCTACTTCGGGTCTGCTTCTCGGAAGTTCACCTAGTCGGTTTAGCTCTTATAAGCCATTTGGGGATCTATTTGTTCTCTAAGTCCAAATATTTAAAAGGTCCATTTTGTTTACATCAGTGCTATTCACCAAGTATAGCTCAAGCAGTGCATCCCGAATTAATTAAGCTCTATACAAAAGACTAAAGTTTCCACTTCAAAGCCCAGGAAACCTGCACTTTCTGTTACCTATTCATTTCTAACAGCCTGTTCCATATCCTTCTGTACTGTGAAAAGCTAACAAACGACAAACACAAACGTTTACGAGCATTTCTCTTTGCGCCAAGTGATGTAAACAAGATACAAGACATACTTCGAATCGATAACATAGAGAAACTAAATGAGATTTACTGGTTCATAATGTCAGCGTGCAATTCACTGGATTCCTTAAGCTTTGATGGTCCACACACCAACCATGTGCTATGACTAAGGATAGTTGTTGGTCAGTTCAATTAATTGTTTGTTCCTTTTTTTTTTCTTTGGGTTTTATTGATAATTTATATAGAAATTAATTGGAATGTAATGAAGTGTTATTGTTTTTATAATAAATCAATGTACAGTTAAGATAAACCTATACTCATGTAGGTGAAATAAAGTTATTCATATATGTTTGATTTGTTCAATATTGTAAAATAATGTTTAACAAATAAATTCAATTCTATTCTATTCTATTCTATCTCAAGCAGTGCGATACTGTGTAGTTCTTCTTTGGTCCAAATATCTACGTCCAACGTCCAATATCTTATTTTCAACAACACAGTATGTTTTCTTTCTTTTTCCTAGTTTCACATTCACAATGAACCGTTACAAGAAGAATAGTTTTGTTTTATCTGATGTTTAGTTTTCGGGACAGGATGTGTGAGCAAGTAGTTTTGCAACTGAAAAATAAATATTTCACACTTTTAAACTACCTTAGACCGGATGTGCTTAAATTTTTCTACGTGTTCCATCGTGATCTCTTATACAGATGAATGGCAAAATCTATTAATTTCAACTTATAAATATATTTATTTTTATCCCAAGTTCTTTACCTCCTTTGATCAAAGTGCAGTAAATAGTGTTGCCCAAAGTCGGTCTTGATCTTGCACTTTGCAAGATCAAGATCAATGCCTCCTGACTGTTGCAAGACCAAGACCAGGACTGGTAAAAAAAATCTAGTTTTTAAATAAATATCAAGGCAAGATAGTTACTAATACTTGACAATCTTAGTTACTATATGTAAAGAATTGGTATAACCAATATACTTTTCCATTTAACTCCTCTAATTTTTCATTTGGGCTTAATTAGGTTTTTCCTTTATAAGAAATTACAGTAATATCTCTATAGTAATAATCTAATAAGTAACTGCAAGACTCTTGCGCAAGACCAAGACCATGACCATGACCAGGAGTGAGTTTTTTTGGGCAACACTAGCAGTAAACTATTTTAAAAAGACATATCCTTTATTGCTCATTAGAATATGTAGCAAAGCAGTTAATATGCATAATTCTGCTTGCGGCAAATAATACTGACATATGTGGTAAAATTTTTGCTTATCTTTATAGTATAAGACCCATTTGGACTTAAGGAGTTGAACTTTGGGGCTCCACCAAACCATCGAATTCCTATCGTATCCAATCATTACAATTCAAAATCCTTAATGCTCCTTACTTTGTAACAAATAAAATGACCAGAATGTTCCATGTGTTTCTAAAATTGGCCCAATCCTCTCGTTTCTAACCTTGCTTCCTCCTCGATCTCTGATAACCCTCCTAGGTGTCTGAAAAGAAAATTGCCTCGTGATCTCCTAATTTAGATACTATATTAGAGTGCTATCAATGGATAGATTCTCTACAAGCCTTGTCGTGTCATCTATTTCTTTGTATCACATTTGCTGAATGTATATTAATTTGTACAGTTGTTAATTTCATAAATAAATAAATAAATCTTTATAGTATTATTATAATTACTTTTTCCTCCTCTTTCATTATATTCTTCATATATAATACATGACCGTGGAGTGTTTGCCTGAAGGCGGAGGCGGTAACGCATGACTAAGAATATCTAAGAGGAGAAGACGAGGTGCAGACATAATACACTAAGCTCAAACCATCCTTCGGACTCGCCGGTTATTTAATTAATGTTTATTTTATTTCGCTCTCGCCCTTCCCCGCAAACCCTCGAGACGAGTTGCTCCGCAGTTTTAATTAAAATGTGAAACTAATTAATTAAACAAACTCCCTTTTCTTCTTTCTTTTTTTTTTCTCTTTTCTTTTTCTCCTTCCTCCATCGTTTTTCTATTTTTTTTTCTACCCCACGAAATCTTGGCCCGTGGAAGACGGGGGAGAGGGGGAGTGTTTGACCGACAAGGGCCTTGATATTAAGGAAACGCAATTATCCCCCTACTTACGCTAAGTCCATACAACTCTGTTCACAGTGGCCACTTCTAATTGACCGCCGGGAGTTTTAGCCTCTTTTCGCGGCCCCGTGCAGATTTAATTAATAGCAAAATCCTTATAAACCTCAACCGATTTATTACAAAGTTACTTAGTCCTATACACCTTTTTATTTATTAAAAATTTTTTTTTTTTTTATTTCTCTCTCGTAACGCGTGCAATTAAAGACTTTAAGGCATGTAGTTACTAAACTGCTTTTGAACTCAAGATATCTTCTTACATAATTATTTTATAATTTATAATGTTCAGTTTATCGTTGAAAAGTCTAAACAACTTGAGACCAAGTAACTGTAAAATCTCGCTTAATGGCCTATACGGATTTATGAAAAGAAAAAAAATAATAATAAATAATAAATTTCAGTTTTACCAAAACTAACAACGGACGGCATGTTGACGAACTTGTGGTTGCTGATTTCAAAATAATCTTTACATCTTCTTATTTTAAGAATATTTATACAATCTGCCACTACCAAGGTATTATAACAAAGACTAATGGTATAATGACTTCATGTTTACGTACATTCGTACAACATTTTTATAGTTAAATTAAAAATTGAATAAAAATAAAATAAAACAGAAAGAAATGAAGTACAAAAAACGAAAATAAATTGTAAACCCAATAAAATAAAAATGTAATTATAATAAAAACAATTTATAAGTGATACGAACCTTTTAACCACCAGGGCCGACAAAACTCGAAAATACCAGGAACTAGCCTTAGAGATCAAAAAGCTATACCATTTAGAAAAAGTTAAAATTATGCCCATATTTTCGTATGGTCTAGTATTAAATAAATAAAATTTTAAAGTACAACAATAGAGAGTACCAAATTGGACCAAATGTGGAATGAACACATTTAAAAACTGCGCCAGTCATGCTTGTAAGAATGTGTGCAGGATTGTAAGAAACTTTTTAAACAAGTAAAATCTTCCGTCTAAATTCCATTGAAGGATTTTCATCTGAGATTTAGATATTTCAGATATCTGAGAAAGCAAACCAGAAAATAAAATAAAGAAATGCATTATAAGAATTATTAAAAGAAAAAGTGCTAACAAAATAATAAAATATACTAAAAGAATAATTATTCTTCCACACATTCACACCCATATACAATAATTTGGTGAAATTCAGTAGAAAAAATATATATATTTTTGTATCATGGATGATAAATATTCATGACGCAGTCATAATAAAGTTTTTATTAGTGCCGACGTTTCAACCCAAACATTTAGGTCATCATCAGGGTGTGTTTCGAGCACTGAAATATTCAAGTACGGAGTACATGAGTACTCGCTTGAAACATGCTTTGATGATGACCCACATGTTTGAATTGAAACGTCGGCATTAATAAAAACTTTATAATGACTGGGTATTGAATGTTTTTCACCCATGATATGTAGAACATTCGACTAACTTCCTCCAATATATATTTGTAATTTCCTATTTATTTGATCTCAGTTAATACAATCGGAAATATTTTCTCTTATAGAAAAAAAAAATCGATTTGTGTATTATAAGTTTTGAGA